CTCCTTCGAGCGACAGACAAAGTGCTGATCGATGCTGTCGGAGACTCGAAACAACCAATCGGTGAGTGGGGCCTCGTTGCTAATCATGCTCCAGAACTCGTCGGCGTTCCAGTGAGGATCGACGGCTCGAGCAATCGTCGTGACCTCCCATTGGGCGAAGGCCTGGAACACTCGTTGTTTCTGCGACTCATCGAGCTTAGCGAGGTCTGCGACGAAAATGTCCGTGAGTCGGAGGATTCTTGCTCGAACTTCTCGTCGTACACTCGACTTGGAATCCCCCGGGCGCTCGCGTTCGATGTCCTCACACATTTGCTTCCACGAAGCGCTTCGCTGTCTCGCGGTTTCTTGTGTGAGTCGTTTTCTGACGGAGTTCACCTTCTGGCAGACGAGGTCGGGGATGCTGATCGTGTCGCAGCGGGTCGAGCTCTTGCGGACGAAGGTCGGCTTGCGTACCCATCGGCATTTCGAAGTGTCCCAGTAGTTGTCGAAGAAGATCTTGCAGTAGAAACCGTGTGTCCGCTCGATTGCAATGTGCCACCCTGGAGGCTTGGTCTCGTGGTCATCATCGCGGTCATAAAGCCGTCGGCGATCCATCTGGTTGTAGGGAGTGTCTCGAAGATTTCCGCGTACTCTGACTTTGGCAGGTGAGAGATCGGAGTGCTCTGCATACCACACGAAGTCCTCGTTGGCCCCTGTCGCGCACTGGTAGCAACATCTGTAGTGGACATTGCGCCAATCGTCTTCGCCGTCGGGGTTGACGGAGAGCAGGTAGTACGGCGGGAAGAGGAGACCACAAAATGTACAATCGAGGGAACCGTCGTGGATTTGGTCGGTGCTCGGAGTGCTGAAGTACTTGAGGTACATCTCCACACGATCGACGTCCCTTTTGTGGTGGTCCTCGATCGAGGTTCCGTCGCGTCCGACGAGTTCGATGGGCATCCCATTGTCGTCGACTTCCTCGCCGGTCAATTGTCGGCGCCATATCATGGCGAGCTCGGCGTCAGAGGAATTGGGGAACTGTCGACGTAGGGATGACATCGCAGTCCTCTCGGAGGCTCGCTTGAAAGCGATGATCTCGAGGGCTCCTTGTGTGTTATGGTCGTCGTAGAGCCTTCGTTGCATCTTCAGAGCACGAACCGCATCGGTGTCGGGGTCAACACCTTCCAAATATCTCGCGGCCGGCAAAACTGCCCCGGAGCTACTCCCGGGTGTCTGGGAGAACTGCTCGATGGGATCGGGTACAGTCGTCGAACTCGGGAAACTGTTCAATCGGGTCCGTCTCCATCGGGGTCTGACGGTGGCTTGCCATCGCGTCGGGTGGGTCGGGATATTCGGGGAGACACAGGAAGGCTTGAGAGGTCGAGGTCTACGGAAGCCAAGCAATCTCCAAGGAGAGAGCAGGCCCCACTACAACTAGCAGAGCCTGTTGCAACCGCACAGTGATCCTAATCAGCAATCGCACGATGTGGTCTTTATGATCGTATGGGGCGATGCAAGATTCGGGGTAAATGGTCGGTGTGAGGAGGACACGTCGCCGAGGCGGAAGTCCCCTTAGCACCCAAATGTGGTCGTGACACCAGAAACTCCCGCGCGTCGCCGAGGCGGAAACGGGGTAACTGTGTGAGACCGAAGAACTTCGGGGATGCCTAGTTAAAGGCTCGAGCATCTTCCCGGAATCGCAAAATGAAGCCCGGCGGCTCCGCGGCGATGATGGGTCGCATTCTCTCGTGTTGGGCGAAAGCACTCCGCATCGCCGGAGAGAGCATGTTCGAAGCACAAGAGAGGATCGCCGCGGCTTGCTCGCGGAAGAAATTCGTCATCGGCTCGAAGTATGGCATCTGTCCCACAAAGATGTTGAGATTGTGGGCTGTATGGCACCACATTCGGAGTCTGTTCATGCGGTCCTCCACCGAAGTATGGCTCAAGTCGGAGAGGGACGCCGTCAATGTTGTGCCACATCATCGAGTAAGTCAATGTAGTTCGTGGCTCCACGAAGTTGTTCGGGACGCCCAAGAGCAGGACCCTCTCCTGGAGGGTGTCGTCCTGCGGAGTGTGAATCGGGAGGTCGATGTACAGCCCGAACTGTGTCAGGTAGCTCCCGAAGGTGGGACATCGAAGAACTTGTTCGAGGTAAATGACGCCGTCGTATGTGATCTCCCATGGGGCATCGAAGGAAGAGGAGGAATACGGGTGGTTGCCAGGAGGCAGCATCGCGACATTGTGTCCGCCCACCGGTGTCATCGCCTGTAAGTTCGGAGACATCATCGGGAAGTTGTCGAAGTGTCTCAAGGTCTGGAAACCGAACACTGGCTCGTGTGAGACCGGTGGGTTGGAGCGAACATCGTCGATCGATGTCCTGCCCTTGTCCACGACCTGTGAGTCGAGCCACTGTACTCGAAATCTTTCGAGGCATGACTGTCGCGGTGGCTGTGGCTGAACTGCAACTGGCACACTCGTGTATGGGCTCCTCAACGGGGTCGTGATAGTCGAAGAAGATGCCGCCCCGGACTGTGTCGCTGTGTGTTGCAAGACTTGCCTCGGGTCGGCTCGTGACAAATCCGCCGCAGGGTGGACCGAGTACCTCGGCGGTACAACTTTAGGCATGGCCTTCGTCTTTGCCCCCACAATGGCCGTGGTGGTCGTAGCCAAACTCCGGGTTGATCCACTCGGAGTCGCTCGGGGGGTTCACCGCCGTCGCTGTGGCCGGGTTGATCGTCAGTGTCACAGGAGTGTTAGTAGTCGCCGTAGTCGGAGGTGTTGGCGGAGCCGTAGTCGGGGGTGTTGGCGGTTCCGTAGTATCATCGTCCTCATGCCAGGGGTCCGGGGACAGAGGTCGAGTCTGCTGTATCGTGGTAGTTGGCGGAGCCGGCGGAGCCGGCGGAGCCGGAGCCGGTGTCGAGGTGACAATCTCGTCCGGCACCTCGACGATTACCGGGGTGGTATCGAGCCAGCGTTTGGCTGGTGATTGTGATCGTCGGGGGAATCTCGCCGGTGACAATGGTCGTTGCGAACCCCTAGCTGCTCCATCGCCATGGCGGAAGGCAGTTCGGGTGCTGCGACCGAAGCTGGGGGCGTCGGAGTCTGTGTCCGTGCCCAACTGAAAGAATGGCCGGCGTGGTGTCGAAGTAGTCGGTGCTGCCGAAGGTGCAGCCGAGGGAGCCGCAGTAGAAGGTGCCGCCGACGGTGCCGCCGCCGGAGGGAATCGAGGTGCCGAGCTAGGGAAAATGCTCCCTCGTGGTGGAGTCGACGGTTGTCCCCATGTTGCCGGGGGTCTGGAGTCGTCGCGGGCTCGTCGAGGAGAGCGTCCACGGTGATTGCCGTCGGCGATTTCTTGTCGGAGTCTGGCTGCGGCGTCCGACCTGTCCCATGCTTCGAAGTCGTAGTACTTGGAGAAATTGGTACCGAAGTTGAATTTGCGCATCTCGGTGTGACGGAAAGTGGCCATTGTGTCCATGATCCACTCGCGCGCCTGTTCTCGGGTCACCTGCTCGAGAAATGCACCTCGTGATGAGTAATGAAATGGAGGTTCGCCTTGGCGTAATTGTCGTTGCAGTACGACGGCTCGGCGCATAGCTCCATCGAAGGTGTGACCGTGTTGGTTCCAACATTTATTGTGATACTCGTAGCATCCCTGGAACCATTTGTGGCAGATTAGATTGGGCACCACCCAGACTTTGTTGAGGAAATCGGGGTGAAGGTGCGCACAGTTGTGCATGTTGCAGTTCTTAGTTTCGAGGATTCGGGGGCAGATTTGTCGTCGTATATCGGAGACAGGAACTCGGGCTTCATCGCGAACCTTCTCTGGGAACTCGTGTAGCATGGAACTCGGCACCGGTGCAGTAATATTCTGAGTAGATCCCTCGCAGAGAAACTCGAACCAAGAATCGGAGCGAGATTGTGCCATGGCTACGAAGTTGCTAATCCAAATCGATGGAGGTCGAGTTAGAGGGCTTGAGGCGCCCTTCGAAGTTTCTCTTTCGAGCTGTAGATGCAGCGGGTTCGGGATTATGAAGTTCCATGCCGAAATCATCACGAAAAATGTCTGCCAAATGCTGATTATGCAGATCGGTCTCATGTACAAGAAGAGCAGCATCGGTGTCCGCTGGAAGGGGTACATGATCGGATTCGGGGTGTAGGGAAGCCTCGACGATCTCGAACGGCACCGTCAGCGGCTCCGCGGAATCGTCGCGGTTGGTAATGTGCAGGTACAGGAAGGCCTCGAGGTTAGGCGGCTTCAGCAAGGTCGCCGCCAAATTGACAATGTCGTTCGCCGTCCGACACTGGGAGATCTGATCGATGGCCTTTCGAATTTGTCGGGATTGTCGCTTTTTCCAAGCTCCCCACGTCACATCCTCGGGTTTCTCGATCTGGAAGTCTTCGAGAACTTGCTCGCGGCTAAATGCCTCGAGCGATTCCTTCAAACTGTCGACAACTGACAGAGAAGCCGTAGTGCTCGAAGTACTGGCCGCCAGCAGCGGTCGTAATAGAACTCGAAGTACTGGCCGCCCAGAGCGGCTATGACCGAGGAGTGATCCGAGGGGACTGAAACAAAATCTGCTCAAGCTGTAACAGCTTTCGCCAAAATGGCCACGGAGTGTATAATCATTCGAATTGAATCGGTGAGTCAATCCCCTGACCGATTCGGTGTTTATGTGAGATAATGAGTTGTCACTTCGCACAAACAAGTGTGTGCTACACTACAAATGCTGTCAGCGGCGCACTTGCACAATTGCTACGCAAGCGGATGAAAACTCCTGTCAGCACGAGCTAAGCACGTGCCCGAATCATGAGCTAGTCGCAAGCTTCCTTTCAACCCAGAATCAGGAAGCCTGAAGGTTGAGGAATCATGTCCAAAAGAACGTCGTTCAGGTCCAGTAGCAGCTGCACGGCTCTGATGCTCTGTATTAAGTGTGCTTCCATCAAAACCGAACAACTCGCTTCTAACTCCCGAATGCTGAAGTCTCTAATCGCACGCCCTGATTCAAGACATCTCCACCCACCTCGTCCACAAGGGGCTCCAAGAGCGGTGGCACAGGTCGCGCCCTGGGGGATCCGTCTTCAGGCAGCAAGTTGCAACACGTATCCACGGATAATGTCGTAGGCCTATAGCTTGATGTGTGAGACGTGCCGATACAGTGGGTTTAGCCTAGGTTTCATTTCGACAGGGGGTTTTGAGTTGATGTACGACAGGGAGGATGTCAAGTTGTTGAGCCAAGCCTCAATCCACGCCGGGACTGGGCCCTGGCCCTCAAACCTTCTGATCGAAACCCCTTAAACTTGCGAGCATCTCTCAATGCCCACTCAGTTGTGGTGGGGCTTCTGAGATGAGGACTGGGAGGTCACTAGTCAAGATTTTGAATTCTGCTGTCACACAAGGCTTGCATTTTGCAAGCTGTCATGATATATACCTCCAGCGAATCCAACCTCTCAACACCATGCGATACCGGCAATTCTGTTTTTGCAAACATGTAGGAAATAAGTACGTTGGCCACTCTGCTGCAAGTGTCTAGTTGCGTATGCATGCATGATTGCAGGCATGCACGTAGATGGTGAGATATTCGTGTAAGCAAGTTTGAGGCTGCCACCAGCAAGGTTCCAATGAATTCATGGTCAGCTCCTGGCCGGGCTTGTAGGACTTATGAGATGCAATGCCCGGCCATTTCGAAACACTGGAACCTCCCACGAGTCTAAATCTCGAGTAGTGCGCTGGCGAGTGCCCCGTTAATAAGCGTGCTATGTCTCAAAATAACGGAAAGATCTCACTGCTTCGATGCACGTCAGTAACTGTAAGTAGCACGATGCCGAGCCTGAGGGCCTAAACCTAAATCCCAAGGTTTTCATTGTCAAGCTTGCCAAGATTCTCAGCTGCGAAGCTAGGCAGCTAACCCTTAAAGCCGCAGCAACCGCAGCACGGCAAGTCTCAACCTGGCAGTCTCTTGGGCCCGTGGCAGCCGGTGCCTCCTGTTGGAAGATGCGGCGTACCTTGTCTCAAGGCTCTGTGACTCTCAGGCCGTTTCGACGAGCTTGGGACGGGCAGCATCTTCGGGGCTTTTTGGCATGTGAGCTTTACTGCAAGGGTTTCCCAGACCTCGCAGTCTTCGCTGTCTGGATTTGAGGGAGAGCAATTCTGCAATAGAACGACGCGAGCAGGAGTCAACGTCTATGACGGCCTGCCGAAGATAATGTACCAACACATGACTGGCACAAGCACTATGGCAGAGGCCTCATCCACAACTCGGCTGAACCGCACCATGCCCCTTCACGGCCCTTTCGTAGTCTGACAAAGGTTCCTTCCTGGCCACAAGCCCGGCAGCCTACCCAGAATGCTGAAGGCATCTAAAGAACCAACAATGCCTCAGCCACTCGGTGACCTTGCCCCCGAACCTTCGATGTACCTACTCGACACCCTGAATCCCAACCGGGATGCCGCGTCGAGATCCGGGAGATCTGGCATGTTCCCATCGCAGCCTCCGGGCAATCGAAAGTATTCGTGACTTTCGTTCCATGGGGTCTCGAAGGCTAGCTCAATGGGCTTCCGGGGTGGTCGGGAAGCAAAAAGCAGCCTTGTTGCTTGAAGATTGGCGAGGGATCTGCACTTTTCCTCCAAGGACTACGGAGATCTTGCTGATCGGATGTAGAGATTCGGGCGATCTCTGAATTCTGAAAATCTCCGTAACTCTGGAAGTTGGGACCAGGCGCTGACTTAGATTTCTTTTTTGCTGCCTCTTCCTCTCATTGATCACGCTGCAACTTGCATAAGCGATCACTGTAAACCGAGCTCGGAATTCGGCGAGCCTACATGAGTGGATGCTGGGAGGGAGAGGTTGCGAGAGACGGCCTGCACGCTGTTGTTCCATCGACAACCATAGCCCTATTTAAAGAATTCGGCACATCGGTGCGCAGTCGTCAAGGCGGCAAGAAAACACTTTGCAAAGAAAAAGCCTGGAGGTGAATCTACCCTCACAGTACGCCGACCACGCTTGTGGGGTCGAGCGCCGGGGAAGCCAGTTGTTTGCGGGCAATCCGAGGGTAATCCGTGCATCTGTTATGCCTGCAGAATTAATTTATCTTTTTTTTTTTTTTCCGGTGTGTTTTTTGTTTTCCTTCTTTTCCAGCAAATTACATGCAATTTACAAGTTCCACGACGTCTGAAGTGGCGACTTCTGTCTGAATGTACATCTGCAAGCGTTTCTACTCATGCAAGCTCTTTGCCTTTTGCAATTTGCACAACATAGCTCGATTCTTTGCTCGGCCATCCGGAGGGTGCCGGGTCACGTAGCATGTTTTAGCTGTTCCGTTTCACTGCAAACGTTTATTCAATGTTGCCTCTTTTGCGATCCGGGTTCATGTATCATATACGTGCTGCTCCTTTGGCTTAGGTCAGCAAAATGTGCGGAATGGCACGAAATCCGTCCAAAATGTCAGGAAAACGGTCGTTTCCCTGGGAAAACCCAAGGTGTCGTACGTTTTCGTGAAGGAAAATTCAATTATTGGGAATGGCACAAAATCCGTGAAAAAATGTGAGGGAATTCGTGTGCCCTAGGAAAAATCCACCCCCCTCCCTCCCGCCCGTCCCCTCAGACCAAACAAACGCACAAAACAAAAACAATCACCAAGCAAAACAAGAAAATCCTCAAATAATTTTGCTTCCTACGTCAAGATGCAGGATGAACAGGAATCGCCAAATGAGGGCGCGTGCTGTAGATATGATGAGCCGGAATCGGCAAATGAGGAGCGTGTTTAAAATATATAATGAAATGCAATCGCCTACGTTATCTTGGTTGTTGTTGTTGTCCTGAGAAAAACCGACGTTACCTTGCTTGTGGTTGCGGTTGTTGTTGTTGTTGCTGTTACTATTATTGTTATTGCTATTCTTCTTCTTGTGGCTGTCGTTAGCCTTATTATTTTTCTATTGTTATGTATTGTCTTGTTATTGCTGTACCATTTTATGCATTTATTTATTGAATTTGTTGTTATTATCATATTTCTTTTTTGTTATCACTATTATTACTGTTGCTGTTCTCGTTATTCTACAGCCGTTGTTGTTGTTGACGTTGTTGTTGTTGTTGTTGCTGTTGCTGTTGTTGTTGTTGTTGCCGCCACGGACCACAGAAGACAACCAAAACAAGAACAAATACAACAGCAACAACCAAGCAAACCCGTTAGAATGGAAGAAGCGCCACCACAAAGGATACCAACAGCAAGCGAATTACTAGCATCATCATATGCAGAAATAAGGAGAGTAAAACAACAGGAAAAGATGGAAACAATAAACGGGTTTAAATCAAAAATGCTTTAATGATTAATAATATTCTTTATCTAATATTATTAATAATATGAGTATGTTTAAGAGTAAGCCAGAATTTAAAAGAATGCCACAGGTGCAACAATATTATGATTTAGAAGATACAATCGGTGTTGCTTCACGAAAGAAAGCTATTGAAGATATGAAGATGAGAATTGAAGAAGCAGACAACAGAGGTAAAAATATTGCTATGAGGAATGATTGGGTACAACATCAAAAGAAATCATTATATCAGGGACAACTAGATGACATTAACGGACAGTTAGAGCGTCCGATGATGCCAGTAAGAACAGTAGAAGAACTTAAGAAAAACAAAATGAATCAAAAACGATTATGGCAAATTTAATATAAATTAAAATCTAACTTCAATTATAAAAATGATTAAAGCATTAAAAGCTGAATTAAAATTAAGACCTACCTATGATGAATTGGTGGGTATGATTGAAAGTCAAGGAGACCAGAACAGACCATCCATAGAACAAGTAATAGACAGGAAAGCAAGAATATTTAGAAATAATCAGTTTGGAAGTCAATTTGATACCATTGATTTTTTAGGATTGAAGAAGCAAGAAGAAGACAGAGCAAAAGAGAATTTAAGACAAGCGCAAATAAGAAATGCAGGAATACAACAAGGAACATCAACGGGATTAATGGGTATTGCTACAACAGGTTTTGTTGAACCATCACTTGCTTCAGGTTTATCTACCCCAAGAATAGTTAATGAGGACGCAGTGTTAAGACCAGAACCAACAGCAAAAGAACTAGACGAGATACGGAGAAATTTGAGAGCATCTAATGACTTAAGAAGGGCAGAAGAACAGAGAGCGTTATATATAATAAGAGCCTCAATGATAGGTGATACTGAAAGATATAGAGAACAAGTTAGAAAACAACAATTTGAAATTAGTCAAATAGCAAAAATTGATTTAAGTGATGTTCATAGTCAATCATTACCTGTTGGTGTTCCTGTTCATTCAATGACAGAAGATGAAGAAGATGATTTACCACCATTAGTTAATATAGAGGAAGGAGAAGAAGATGATGATTTTGAAGACGACCCAGAATTAATACCAGCATCTGAAGACGAAACAACAAAAGCACCAGCCCAAGCGAGAAGACACAAAGAAACTATTGATTATTCAACAAAAATAACAAAATGGCAAGATAAAAGCGTTCAAGAAGAGGATATAAGATTTCAATTATTTTTAAGAGGTATAGAACTAACACCAGAACAAGAAGAAGAAATATCAAAACTTAAAGTAAAAGGTAAGGGACGAAATCAAACAAGAAAAGATTATCTAATAAATTATATTGATAGATTAATCCAAACAGGAAAATGGACAGACCAAGTAAATGACCAGTTAGTACAACAGAGAATGATAGAATGGCGAGAGATGAAGAAAGGAAAAGGTAAAGGTAGTTCATCAAGTGGTGGAATAGGAAGCACTATAGCAAGTGGAGCAAAAGCTATAGGTGGTGCTGTTTTAGATGCAGGTAAAGATTCAGCTAAAGAAGCAGTAGTAGCAAGTGCTAGAAGTGCTGTTATGAGTTTAATATAGATAATAATATAATGTTAAGGTTACGCCCAACTTTTGAACAAATTGAAAGAGAAGCAAGAACACACAGATTAAAAATATTACCAGAAAAACAAAAACGAACACAACAAGGTTTATTATTAGATGATGTTAATTTTGAAGATTTCGATTTAAGTATATACGATAAAAAGGAAATATTATTTAATATTCCAGAGAAAGGCACACAAACAGATTTATTTGAAATCAAGTCATCAACAGAAAAAAGCGAGAGCTTTAAATCAAGTGACAAAGAAACAATTAAAAGCGAGGAAGTTGAATCCGAACAAGAACGTGAACCAACACAAAAACAAGAACGTGAACGTGAACCACAAAGAGAAAGGGGAAAATCAATAATGAGACGAATGTATGATGCTATGTTTGGTGAAGATACTTATAGAGAAGAAAGAGAAGAAATGTTAAGAGCGAGAAATGTAACAAATGATGAAGAAGAAGAAGAAAAAGAACCATCTGTAGAGAAAAACAGAGTGAAGAGAGCGATAATAGTCTGCCTATGAATGTTAAGAAAAGTTATAACCCTTCTTCCTCATCATCAAGTTCAAGAAATGCATGATTACCTATTGAAGATGAAGCATTAAGTGAATATGTTAACTCCTCGCCACCTATATCAGTTCAAAGTTCTGTTCCAAGTAATAGAACGATTGAATATGTTGATGAAGCAAGTCCACCTCAAAGTGTTGTTAGTTCTCGTAGAAGTCAAGAAACCATAGAATACATAAGGAGTAGAAGTTCCAGAGGAAGCAGTAGAAGAACACTAAGCAGTTAATTATTACTTTATGGGGGGTGCTAAAACGCCCCCTACTTAAAGAGTAATTAACATTAAACAATAAGATGAACTCCTGCTTTGTAACGGAAAAAGGCGAAAAATTAAACATTGATGATGACCTTTTTGATGTGCTGCGGAACTCGTTAGATGAAGAGAATAGCGAAGACATTGCAAAAGCGAAAAAGAAATCACACAATGACAAGAACAATGAAAAACATAAACAAAATGGCTACTATAAAGAATATTTTAAAAATAATAGTCATTGCTTTATATGTGAGAGGTGCGGAAGAAAGATAAGTAGTAATACCGTTAAATCTAGACATATGAACACGAAGAGTTGTAAAGAAATATATCAGGAAAGATTGGAAAAGGAAATGATGGATAAGATCGGAAGAAAGATATTGTTGCGGAATTGATATTATTATCTAAAATATGATAATATTATTTATGAGTAAGAATAATAAATTATCAGAGTTATATTATGATATTGAAAGTGGTTTTGGGAGTGCAAAGAGTTTATATGATGATGCTATAAAAGCCGGATTAGTAGTAACGCTTAATGAAGCCAAAGAATGGTTGAACAGTCAATCTGTTAAACAAAGGAGCAATTACAAACAGTATAACAGTTATTCAGCGCCTTTTGCGTGTTCTATTTATTCTGTAAATTTAATGAATATGATTACTCTAATGAAAGATACTGACACTTTTAAGGAGAGTTATCCATTATATGGTTTTGTATGTGTGGATAATCTTAGTAAAAAATGCCATGTCGTTCCTATGCAAAACGGTGACACAGTATTAAATGCTTTAAAGGAATGTTTCAAAGTAATGAGTCATCCTCAATCAATTTATAGTGATGATGAAGGAGCGTTGAACGATAAGACATTACAAAAATATTTGAAAGATGAGGGTATAACACATAATACAACTTTAACTCATGCATCAGTGGCAGAGAGGCAAATACGTACATTTAAGAAAATGATAAGTGATAGATTATTAACACACAAAGGGGCATGGACAATGATGTTAAAACCAGTTTTGGATAAATAAAATAAACAAATGGTTCATTCAACAACTGGTTTAGTTGCTAATGACGCTCACCGTGATGAAAATCATATAGAAGTTAAGGCAAACTCAATAATGAAAGAAAAGTATTTGAGAAATTACCCAAATATTAAAGAAGGTGATAATGTAAAGGTTTTGACAAAAAGCGGTGGTAATTATGCCAGTGTTAAGGAGTCCCGTTCAAAATGGAGTGAGAAGACTCATGAAGTTAAAGAAGTTGAAAGAGATAAACACATGAATACATACTATATTTTAGAAGGAGGGCGAAAGAGATATATGAGACATGAGTTATTGTTAATAAATAAGTAAATGCACTTAAAGACATAAAGCCCTAGAAAAGTAGGAACTATGATCATCCTAGATTATAGCAAGTGCGAAGCGTGTAAGAAATTTAAAAATACAATATCAATAATTTTGAATAAGATATTACCTGAAGTTTTAGCTGATAAAAACGTTTCTTATGATTGTTGTAATTATTGTGGAATGATGAGAGCAAAAGAACAAGAAAATAGAACGAATGAGCACTTGAGTAAGATTGTAAAACAAATCTTGTATTTTAAATGAACTAAAATATCAAGATTTAATGAAGGTTGTATATTAAGGGAAATGAACCAGTTGAAAATAATCATTGGTAGAGGAAACAGTCCATTTAAGAAAGTATTAAAATCTTATGTTAGAAACTGTCACAGAGCAATAGTCTTTCATTTCTGTATGATTATAAGGAACTTGCATGATAAGAAGCGGTTGATAAACTTTATAAATAATAGCTCAAATATACTAACCATGAGATATAGTTATTATAAAATTACATATGCTCTTAAATTGTTGTGTAGATTAATTGTTTATGAATATTCAACTGACTTGATAAGCTATGATAAAAATTATATTGATAATAATGAGCTGAAAAATTATTTGAATGATTTGTTTGATGTTAAAAATATAAAAATAGGCTTAAAGAAAAACGACCGTTTAATAGTAGGATAAATGACCTTTAATTTTAGATTTGAATGTGACACGTGTAAATTTGTTAAGCAAAGAAGTTCAAAAGCACTAAATTAATTACATCGTTTGATTGTTGTTTTAAATGTGAAGAAATGTATGAGTTAGAAAACAAATACAGTAAAAGATAATATGAAAATTTTAACGTTGGTAAAAAACAGCTACATTGCATTTTACATCATTTTGATTTCAACTACAAAGAACGAACAAACTTAAACCACAAAAAACAGTATTTCAAAGACATAGTCAATGAAGATACAAAACACAGCAAAGGTGGTAAACAGTTAATGATAAAGTTTATTAATGACACAAAGCATATAAAACTTATTGAAAATGCAAAGAACATTGGTTTCTTGATTATGATGTTGATGTAATCAAAAAATTTTGGTATGATGAAGATGAAGAATTTTATCATGATGCAGCTCGTCAAGTTGCTAGATACAAAGACATTCTTTTATCCATCTTTAAAATATATTTCAAAAATACAACCACTTACCATTTCAATCAACCCTATTTCAATGATAAGGAAATATTTAAATATCTAAAATCGGTTTTCTATTCTACTTAAACTTGATGATTATAATAATTAACCTTCAAGAACAAAAACACCAACAAAGCTTCATAATAACATGTATTATGAATATTTGATAAAACATTAGAAGGTCAAACACCCTAGAAATCTAGGAATTATGATACTCCCTGAAATTATGATGAAAATAATGAATGAGAGGGCGAGATGTGATGAAATTTTAGGGTAAAAGGACTTAAATTAAGGAATTTTATGATGAAATCCCAGAAACCCCTCGCATAAAACGAGTGAGGGGAGGATAATGATGAAGAATGAAGAAGAAGATGATGATGAAAATGATGTGTGAAAATGTGTGATGAAAAATGAGTAAGGAGATAGGTTGACCCCAGCGCCTGACGGCGGGAGCCCTACAACCCCCCTTTCTACAATTTCTTCCCCTAACCCTAGCCTCCAAGTTCCACTCTACCCCTTGCCCCCCTCACCCTATTCCGGCTCTCGCTACTGGCTCCCGTCCGTGTGCCCGTCCGGGATCCACCATTGTTCTTGTGGACAAAGACGACGTACGTGTGAGACGGCTCGTCGAGCTGGACGCGACTGTCGGTTTGACTTCCACTAAACCACCCCCACCTCCCTGCACTCCGCCCTGCACCCCCCCTCCCCAAGCCCTCCTATACCCAGCACCCCTATCCCCTACTCCTAGCGCAGCCCTTAAATAAATCTTCAACTTGTTGCAACGTCGTGGAAACACATCTGACAGCAAAGACCTCTGAACCTCTGCAAGGACGTATCTCGCTTCCCCTAGAGGATAGACACGAACGCCGTAAGCTGTCTGCGCTCAACCCGGATTCAAAGATGCCCACCTTGCACGAACTGGTTCACAGTCTTCTTGTGAAGGTCCTTCAGGACAGCTAACAGTTTCGACCGCATACATGTTCTGACATGGAGAATCCTAAGACCGTTGCGGTGTCGGTATCTATCACGCAGCGTTTAGCTTGGAAGATGCGTGGCCTTGAGTTGCCTGGGTCCCTTGGCTGAGGTTCTCAACCCCACGAAGCCATTCCACACTTACGGGGCTTGGTCGGCTTGGTGCATTTGGGTAGTGCAAGCGGAATTGCGGACTGGGGCTTAAACAGGGCCTTGCTTCTCTGCTTCGGGGCCTGTTCGTGCAACAGACAATGCTTCGTTGAAGCAATCCCAAAATTAAAGCATGTGCTTCCCAACATGGGCACGATCCATGAGACAGGGGGTTAGTTTGGAAGATGTATGGCCTTGAGATGTCTAAGTTCTTTGACTGAGGCTCTCAACCCCACAAAGCCATTCGCCACTTGCGGGGTTTGGTGCTTGGTGTATGTGGATAGTGCATCGGAAAAGGGCGGAACAAGAACACACGACGCAGGGGCAGGACTGGGGCTCAAACAAGGCCTGGATTCTTTGCTTCGTGTTTGGCTCTCTCAACGCGGCGAAAGACAACGCTTCGTACAATGGACGACGGAATCCCCAAACTAAAGAATGCGCTCATGCGCTCCCTCAATATGGCACGCCGCACCTTCAAGTCTCTGCCATGTCAGTAAACTGTCTGTCAGTATCCAAGCTTGTCCCTTAACTTTCTGTGTTTCCGATCCTTGATCCGAAAGCGTCCGGTGAAGTGCCAAACTTCAGCGATCCAGCAGGTTCGATGGTTGTGTTTGATGTTTTGGGGTGGGTGCATTGGGAGCACAGGTTCTCGTCTTTTGATCGGCCAATGTGCAACTTTGTACTCGGTGAGCAGAAGTTGATGTGCCGAATCAATGCGGTTTCCTTGGTTCCTGCATCGAAGCGCGAAGTCTACGAATCACAGGCCCGCCTCCATGTCCGGTTCGTCCCACAATTGTTCTCGTGTACCCTCCGCCCACCGGTTTCAGAAGGTTCGCTTGCAGCCTGATGCCTTTCGGGCTGTGCCACACTAACCAGAGAGCGCAAAGCCTCGCAACTTTGCCGACCACAAAAGTGTTCTGAAATTTCGATGTCAGCTCCAGTCTGTCGTGGCGCAAGAAGACTGATATGGAGCCAGCCGTGGTTCACGGCTGTGTACTTCACGGGCATGCATGACTAACATGACCCGCACTCGCAACCAGTAGCAGCCAAATTATCTCTTATGCAGGTAGAATCACTCCCGACATATTGCAAACTATATAAACTCAATTCTCTGCCATCAGCAGATCCACTTGCAAAGCCACGCCCTAAAACAGGTTGAATGAAACGACGGGTCCTTCGGTGGATTTGACAGGAACTGGAGCAGGAATTTTCGCTCCACAGCATCATCTGCAGAGCTCAAGCAAGAAGTCTGGTTGTTGGATTCCACAAATTCACCGTTGCACACATGGCCTTGCTGACTTTTATAGTTCGAACGTCTTGAACAGCCCCCACAAGGGCAAAAACGAACGACACGACGGATCCTTGACTTACTTCATTCCAACCACAGGGACCTGACTCTGGGCCTTCTGGGCTTTCTGCCTTGGGCCTTGAGAACACGGCCAGAAAGCAGCATTCACGGTTACTAGCCTGGAACAGAAACAAAGAAGCTGCTAGCAACTGGAAACTGAAAGCTCATACGTGAAATACCACATTGGCTGGGCGAGAAGCAGGGGTACTTTGTTTTCTGCCGCTGCGTCTATTGCAACGAACTCTAGCAGTGCATTCCGTAATGACACCAAGAAAAACAGCCCCACCCCGATTTATGAAGTACTTGACGTCTCCACAAAACGATACACCATTGATCCAGTGTTGCGAGCGAACCTGTAAAGCCCTTTAATACATGAAAGACACTGAGGAGACCACGGCTTGTCTCTAACAATTCCACCACCAGCGGGACGAACGGAATGGTGGCCGTCTCCCGTTCAGTGCCCCGGTCATTCCTGGACAGGTTCTGGAGTTTCAGGATGAAGGCTTCCAGGCTTCCAGCGAAGATGAGCTGTTGAAGAGCCCAAGGAGAATTTGGTCTCCGCTGTATTCCACGGGCGGGTGTTGCTGTCTCTTTGACCCACAAGAAAGCATTGCTTGCTTCTCGGGTTTGCAGTTGGCTGACCTTGCTACAACTGGTGCACAGTTCACCGAGTCTCTCTGTACTATCTGCTCGACGTAGGGACCGCTAGGCTCTCCACATCACAGACGACAGAGAAGGAGGTTCGATCATCCAGCAAAGGCAGTCCAAGGCCAGAAGCAACCCACCGTAGACAAGCGTGGATGCTTTGTACCCTCGACCCTTGGGCACTGAAGAACCGGGCTCCGGTCTCACGGGCCTGTAAATGTCGTAGAGGAGGTAGTACGAAACGAGCCGTTGCGCCTGCGTCAGGAGCTGGTCCTCGGGGCAGACTCAAGCTGCTGCTGGGCAGGAGAATGCTGCAGGAATCGCCCAACAAAGCTGGATTAAAGTATCGAGAGATGTCTTGCAGTCTTGCTTCGGTTTCGGGGTTTATGGACTACTGGACGGAGATCCACTGTCCTGCAGCAGCATGGAGATGACGCATCCGGCTCGAAACCTGGAAGAGATGTGCGGGACGAAGTTTAAGTTTAGGGACACCCACCAGATCCACAGAACGCGCTATCTGAACCTTGTCTTTACAATTTATAATACCGAAAGACTCCCCTCAAGATGCCCAGAGGTCTTTTGCTTTGGTGGGATTCCTCAGCTTTTGCTGACAGAAGTTTAAAAGCCGCGAGGGACGACTATGTTGAATGTTTTCCGATCCGGCAACTCCAGGACTCCAGCTCCCCGGCCCGGACATCACATTCGCAGCACATGGACAATGTACTTCCTGGCTTCCGTCACGCCTAGCTGAACCAAAAACTGCACAAGGTCAAGCCTGGCGAAGACTACACTTCGAAGAGCTACATGCCGGAAACATGCTGAGGTCCACGCTGCTCAGATTTTGGGAACTGTTTGTAGAACTGCCCCGCGAGGGTGTCGAAGGGCTTGTTTGCCCTGAGACTCCGAAATTTGCAGTCATTGTGCGTTTTAGCTGCCCCAGAACGAACGAAGGGAGGTCCTGTCCAGATAGGCGACTTGAACCAGCTAGGAGACGGCTTCTCCAGCAGACTCATCTTATGCAGAAGCTCTCGAGTAATGAAGAAGTGCTGTTGAAGGTTGAGTTACTTGCCGCTCTGGCAAACGATGCGGGCATGCATGCACCGAAGTGCGTTCAATGCATGTCGCCGACAGATCTTAAGCCAAATCCTACCGAGCTTCCCTTCTTCTACCTTCCACTCGCCACTTGGAGTATGTTCGAGAGAAAGTCCGCGTGAAGCCGGGCAGCTTCGCCCTTCATCCGCTGCTTACATCTTGAATCCTCAGCCCTCAGCATGATCTCGACCTCTACAGTAGGGCTCCCGAAACGAGAAGCCCAGGGCTCCGGGCTCTTTGAGCAATTGAAGCAAGCCATCGAGCTCCTGTCATTGCATGGAAGCGAGGTCAGATTATGTGTGTTCAGGGCCGTACAACTAGTACAAAGTAGACACCGGCATGGAATGAAAGTCACAGGGATCCATGTTTCTCGGCTGGTATCAGACTACTCTTGAGTGCTGCATGCGAAGGAGCAGTTGCAGAGCTGCAGGAATAGCACACACAGGATGAGGGTCAAGGGTCCTCGGATTTGGAGGTGAAATGCTTCGGGATTCAGGACTCGCACTTCCACTCCGAAGTTCTCAACCCGCTGATTTCTCGAAAGAGAGCTTGCAGCTTAAAGACTTGTCGGGTTCCGTTTCAGCTTCCTCGGCGGGTCCGGGATGAAGGGGTGAAAATGAACACGTACGATAAATGAACGGCTAGCTTGAGGCTTGAGCTTTGCGCTTTGTATTCAATGGCTGCCTTCGAGTTTCGCTGTCGCATGTCCACTGTACCCCTTCTTCCCTGCCGATCTACAGCATAGTAGCTCGCAAAGCGTATTGCAAAGCTCCATCAGGAGGACACATCGCAAGCAATCAAGCTCTAACCCTCAAGCTTTGCGTATACAGACATGAACACGCTTACGAGTCCCGGAACGTTGCCTGCTGTGTCAGCATGCTCTCTGCCCACGCTGCGCGCGCGGGCCACGTCTCTGCGAGTGCTCGAGCCGCAGTCTCTCACTCCAAAATCGGGGGAACTGTGCCAGATCATGCCATAGAACCTTTCATGTTTGATCGCGGAGCCGGCAAGAATTGGGAACTAGGCGGGCGCAGCATAAGCTGCCAGGCCAAGGTCACAATCAGTTCCGCATCCCCATGTCCCCATCCCTATTCCAAGGTATCGATTGGACTTTACTCGGGAGGAGTGCAGACCACGTACCCTGAGCATAAAGGTTCTTCAACAATCGCTTCCACTGTCAGTCTCTGTCTCCGTGCTTGCTGCATAGCTTGGCTTACTGTACCCACTCCGTGTACTGCAGGGGGCAGACCTTCGGACAACGAACAGTCTTCCGGGAACCTTCCAGGCCGAAGGCAGGCAACTCGCGAGATTTGTGTCCTCGCCCGTCTCATCGCAATCGCGGTTATCCCAACCCTAAGCCACAGACCCTACTTATGATACAGAGACGTGCTCCAGGGTGAACCGACATTAGCGTGAAGCTGTCCTGACTTGAGAGGTTCTCTCAAGACAGGGCTGACCGTCGCGAGTCACTGCAAGAGGTCTACGGCCATCTCAGACACGTCCGCTCCCAGCCTGGGCGGCTGCCGAAACATTCGGATCCAAAGCAGAGCAGGCATAGCATCGCGGTCGCGTTCGTTTCCTTGGAACCTTCTGTCTGTGCAAGGCTTACAATGCTACAAGCTGGGGAGGCACTGAATGAATCTTAGCAGCCCGGTCGGAGGTTTGGGCAGTTGAAGCTCCTGAACGCGTGACCTCCAACTCTCCGACAAGGCGACGACAAGCCCAACAACCCTTCTCCTGCGACGACCACCACCAGCGAGGCAGCTTCAGCAGCTTCCAAAAACATCATTAAAGGCCTTTGCTCTGCTGTAGGGCCTATAGTTCGCGTGTGGGTGATATGTCGATCTAGTGTTCCCCAACCTATGCACATGGCATGAATCGCTCAAGCTAAGCAGCTTAACAGCCCATGAAGATAGACACTGTGGAGTAACTCTAGTGAAGGTACATTCACAGGAGAGTTTCTCGAGTTCTCAAATGCCTAGAAGCTCATTCAGCGCGTATTGGAGGAGGACTCCTGGAAAATGATGAAGTGGTCTGTATTCAGGCTTTCTAATTACAATCCAACTGCTTTGCTTCGAACACCAACCAGAGGCCCCCCCTCTCTTTAAAATCTGTGCATCCCCTCGATCCCTCGGCCCCTCGACACCCGCCAAAGCAGAATATCTCCAACGAACCCCCTACCAGCCAAGATGACTCCGCGCCTCGAAGGCTGATTTGGCACAGCCTGGAGCAAGTACTAAACTTCCAGGGAGCTCGTGCAGACCTAGACCTTCGGGTTTGGGGGGTTCTTGCGGTTCTTGCTGTTCTTGGGGATCTGGAGTTCAGGTTTATGGAGTGTACAAATTTTTCCCATATCAGAGTTGAGCAGTTTCTGTTGTTTTGGGTCTGAGGGCCTTCTGCGAGATGGAAACCTTGTCAACTGCAACAACGTCAAACAGCCGGCATGCCCCGTGAGATCGTCGTGATTTCGAGGCAACGTGCTGGGGATGGAATGCAGGGGAGGGTGGAACCAAAGACGACCCAGTTGGCACACTGTAGAATTAGCAAGGTCTGTCGTCCTCAAACACGGCATGCTGCCAGCTCGAAATTCCAGCTGGTGCCCTCGACCTGGAAAGCAAAAATCCAGATACCCGGAACTTTTGCCAGCTGTGAGAAAGCTTGAAGCCCCCTGGCCCAGCCTGTTCTGCGGAGCTCTCCGCAAACTTGTTACTCCTGAAGAGACAAGCAAGATGCTGAGTTAGAGAGGCCCTACCACTCGATTCGGGGTTCCATCAGCCACCATGACACAGCACCAAAAAGAGGCACCATGAGACGTCCTGCAATAACTCTCTTACTCTGTCAAGAGCGCATGTCAAAATCTTCACGATCCCAAAGGACTCAATCCAGCCTGCACGCCGTATCTTGAGACATCATATTTGCAAAGAATCCCAAGAATCCCTTGCTGGGTTGGAAGCTCTGGGTCTCGGGCCCTCCGCACGCCATATACGTGGCCCGGAAGCCCACGACCACTGGCCCCTCAGAGACGACATGTATTCGACAGGTGGTCTACTCGGAATGCCTGTGGACAGAGAAAGGCTCTAAACAAACCTTCTTGCGGTCGAGCCGGCTCTTCAGAATGCAGAATGTGGACGGCGTGGGAGGCGCCAATGAGTTTGGGAAAGGGTACGCACACGAGAGCTCCTAACGTCATTCTTGCAACGTGGCAATGCGGAGACAACAGCCATGGAAGGTTCCTCAGTACTCATCTTCCGGTCGTGCCTCCGCTAGCCGCGCCATGCTTCGGGCGACATCGCGTGGTGGCCAAGCCTCTTGGCAGCACTCATCCTGCCCCTCCTCCCCTCCCCACCTCTCCTCGTCCCCCCTCCCTTTACCCGCCTGGCCTTGCCGTTGCTGCCTCTCTTCCCTGCCCCTTCCTTCCCTAGCCCATGTTCTGCTTTTAGCTCTGAGTGCTGAAAAACTCAGGTCCTGCGCTTTCCTTCCTGCTTGTTTGCCTGCCGGGTTCCTTGGCTGGAGAGCTCTTAAGAGCATGAAGAAACCCTTTTCCCCTGCCCCCCCCTCCTCCCCTCCTTCCACCCCGTCCTCCCGCCACCCTCCTCCTCCCCCTCTTTCCCTTTACACTCTCCTGCGCGTTCCTTTGTCTCTGCATGTTCTGTTTTTAGCTGTTCTCTGAGTGCTGAAAATCTCAGCTCCTGCCCTTTCCTTCCTGCTGGTTTGCCCGCCCACCTTTCCTGTTCCCGGTTCCTCACTCAAAGATGCTCTGGCAGGAAAGAACAGCACTGATGCAAAGTTACAACTTTCCGTGCTCTCCTGGCCCTCAGAAGCCGAGGCGGGCGGCGTAGCGTTAAAACCACGATATTGCACCGTTGAATGCAAAGCGCGGACAAGGTTTATTCTGCATGGCATGGGCTGCCAGTCGTAACTAAGGATAACCACTGTCAAGCCAGCAGTCTGCACCCTACAGCCTCCGCCCGCGGCTTGGCCGACTCTTCGTCAGCAGCCGCCTGCCACGCTTCCACAAACCCCCTGCAAACAAACAGAGGGAGAGATATAGCAGCCCTGATACAGTAACAGGAACCTTGAAGGGAACCTCCACACTATTCCATAAAAGAGCCCCAAGAGATGGAGAGGGGAACATGGCGACCGCCCAGCAATCGGGCAGTTTAGGGCTGCCTGTCCTCCTCGCCGCAGTGCGAGTGTTCATCAATGAAAGTCGTCAAAGCCACAGCTCGGGCTCGCTTACACGAGGTGGAATTTGTTTGTTCCATATCACAAATTCTGTGCACAGGTTGTGGCACCGATTCAAGGGGTTTAAGTCAGGGCCGAAAGGAAAATATCTTCGAGTTCTGGTCGTTGAGGCGTTGGGCTTGCGGAGTAGATGTAGGACTTCGTTAGGAAGTCCCGGCTCATGCTTGGGATGTGTACTACGAGCTTGAGCTGGGATAGTAATAGTGGGTCATGGATGGGAGAGCACGGTGTAGTGCAGCATGATGCTCGGGTTGAAGATGTGTGTGTCTGTGTGGGTGGTGCCCGGTTTCAGCCTTGATTAGATTGCCCTGACATAGGTTAAGTCAAAGCCGCACCAACCGTGCAGGCTCTGGAAGACTGTGACCGAGATGCCCGCGCGAGGTTTAACACAATTACTCACAGCGGGAACTGGTGCCTGCGGTTGCCTTGCCACCACAGTGCGCAGCAGCTCCTTGAAGAGCTTCATGCGCCTCAAGTTGGCAGCTCGCCGAAAAGTTCGCAGGGCGAGGCTTAAGGCCAGTGCTCGAGGCGCTCTGGCGCGAGCTCATAAGGCTTCGCCACGGCCTGAACAAAACGAGACGTGCTGCTCATGCTTCTGAAAGAACATGCACATTGCGACCCAACAAGGTCCGAGATCCACAAGGTCAACATCGCAAAGCTTGCACCACGACTCGACACACGGATTCTGCTTCCACTCATGATGAACGACGAAGTTACTGGTATCAGCTTTCTACAGCTACAAAACCCACAACTTCACAAGACTTGCCTTGATGTACTGCAGTTCTTGGACCTCAGCAGACACAAGCGTGTCTTCGTGCGCCACGCGAGGGCTCAAGGCTCCGCTTGGCGATCGAACAGCTGCTCGTCAGGACATCCTCCGTGCTAGTCTCGAAAGCCGACCGGGTTGTCATGCAAAGGCTTCTGGCTTTAGGTTGAGGGATCGGCCATACGAACGGTTTCGTTAACATGCCGGCGAGTCAACTGATGCTTCGCAAGATGAGAATTGCAGAGCGAAATTTCGCTTCTCCATGCGACACGTCCGTTCCACTGGGATGTGGTGTTGCGCTCCAGGACCATGATCAGCCCACTGCTCCACCCCACTGCTCCAGCTCCCTGGTCTGAGGGTCCAGCCACCCGCGGTGGCCTCATCTGCTCGCGCCTGAGCTTCTCCAGCTCCTGCGCAGTGCAGCACTGCTCTCAAGCCCAAGCCAGAAAGCGTTCAAAGTACTCCAGGGCCTAACGCTGGCGGGAATATCATGCATTGCCTTCATGTATTGTTGAATTCAGACGAACTCAACCCTGAGCATGTGCACTGCAAGATTCATGTTCAAGCAAATTAACTTATCAAATTAATGGTGTCTGAGCCGATACTGTCCGTTCTGAGGGCAGACTGGGAAAGCAAGCTAGTAAAACTTGTGCTTTGACAAGGCACCGAAAAGAGCTACTTTGTGAACTATCATCTGCCCAGGACGCGACGACAAACAGAGAGAAGGCACGGAGACATGTTTACAACGAAGAGCTTGGCAATAGAAACTCGCAAGTTGATCGATGTTGTGTTGGCTCTGACTATCATGCTTCAAACCGTACAGCCCGAAGTCTGCTCCGCTTTCGAAACACGGACGCGCAAGCCACAGCTAAAGACTGACGCCCAGAGGCCGCAGATCTTTCTCAACAAAAGAGTCTTGAGAAT